ATTTTCTGGAAATAAAATGCAGTTTTTGGAGGAAAAACCCACCACGCAAATTTTCTGCAGAATATGACCTGAATTGCACATTTTCTGCAGCAAACGTTCCCAAAGAAAGACTTTCTTGCAAGGGGGAGAAAGTTCCCATTGCAGGAAAGTCATCGCTTCCTTTGAGAATGAAATTAGCAAAGAGATCAATCTTTGGCCAGGACTTCATCAGAAAGGGAAGAGTGGGACGACTTGATCTGGATTAGATGAACTCAGGTCTTTCTCCTTCCAGATAGCCGCAAACACCGTTTCTGCCACCTGCCCTGATCCTGGGTTCGAATTACCTCCAGTTCCCCCTCGGACGAATCTTCCGCGGCAGAAGGAGATGCCTTTGCCCAACCCAGACTATCAGGTGAGTTAAACCCTAGCCACAGCTGGCTCAATGCTGTGAAATCCTGCGAGTTGTAGTTTCACTAAGAGCACATCTACACAGATAGATTGACATGGCTTGAAATGCCATGGCGCCATGCTATGGAATCCTGGGAGTGGGAGCATCTTTGGTCGAGAAGACCTTGTGAAACTACAACTCCCAGGATTCCCAGTATCAAACCGCAGTCATTCTACATTGCGGATGCAGAATGAATTTTGGATGTATATTGACAGTGATGTATCCTTCTTCAAGCCATGAGGCAAGGAACAAATAGGATATTATTATTATTATTATTATTATTATTATTATTATTATTATTATTATTATTAAACCTTGCAGGCGGGTTAAAATAATATTGTTGTTGTTGTTATTCAACCTTGTTGGCAGGTTACAAATTATTATTATTATTATTATTATTATTATTATTATTATTATTATTATTATTATTAAACCTTGCTGGCTTAGAAACTTGAATACATTAATTCCAAGAACATAGGACCAAAAACTGAGAGTTGTTCACCTAAAGACGATGTTGCTCTCACAAAGGATTGTACCAGCAGGAACCACTTTAAAAGACCTCTATCCCTCCCATAACATCGTTTTCCATGCACCTGCCTTCCCTTTCCTTATCTCTAAGCCTCTGGGAAAAGGCCTCTATTCCTCCCATTACATCATTTCCCATGCACCTGCTTTTCCTTTCCTTATCTCTAAGCCTCTGGGAAAAGGCCTCTATCCCTCCCATAACATCGTTTCTCATGAACCTGCTTTTCCTTTCCTCATCTCTAAGCCTCTGGGAAAAGGCCTCTACCCCTCCCATAACATCGTTTCTCATGCACCTGCTTTTCCTTTCCTTATCTCTAAGCCTCTGGGAAAAGGCCTCTACCCCTCCCATAACATCATTTTCCATGCACCTGCTTTTCCTTTCCTTATCTCTAAGCCTCTGGAAAAAGTGAGTTTGTCTTTGTTGCATGCCCTGTCTCCACAACTCCAAGTACCTTGAATCGTAGAATCATAGAGTTGGAAGAGACCTGCCAAGAAGCAGGAAAATCATTCAAAGCACCCCCAACAGATAGCCATCCAGCCTCTGTTTAAAAGCCTCCAAAGAAGGAACCTAGACAAACATTTGCTTGCCACATTTCTCTCAGCCGGCACTTCTGGCAGACTCTCATGGGAACTGATATTGCTTTCTCCAGTCTCGTGGGAACTGCCAGGAGATTCCAAAACAACTCTCTCCAGGCCACTTCTATCCTCCTATGGGCTCTCTGAATCTATCCCAGCATCCCCTTTCTCTAAGCACTCAGAATCTAACCATACCATGACATTGACTACTTCATTTCCTTTGTCCAGAGTGACCCTTCTTCCGACTGGATCCGGAGTCGTCCTTTGCCAAGGCTTCCGCCAGATGGTCCATCGACATCGGTCCCTTGGGATGCCCCAGGACCGTCCCCGCTTTTGGGGGCTCAACAGGAACCCCAAAACCTGAGCCGATGAGAGACGGACAGGTGAGACGGACAGGGGAAGGGTCCCTTTTTCCAATCCATTGATGAATCATTGAATCAATATGGACGAAAGAAGTGTTATGCCATCCATATTGGACATCCACACATTTGCCGAACTGGACTGACGTTTGGAAATGGAGTATTGGTTTATTCAGGACTAAGCTTCCCGTATCGACAAAGGGAACGAAACGATAATCGTCTCCATTCCTCCCATAACATCGTTTCCTGTGCACCTTTATCTCGCCGTCTCTTGTTTCTTTATCTCTCCGTCTCCAGACTTCTGGATAATGAAGGATTTGGGGAAAACCGAGGAAAGACCGAAATCCCTTCCAAGGAATCCTGTGGAATATGAAGGACTTCCAGCCCAAGAGTCATGTTGGAAGACCTTGAAAGGGCTTAGGTTGTCGGAAGAACCACACCGCAAGGAAGGCATGCATGTTGCAAGCATAGTTTTTAGGAAATGCATGCATTGCAAGGGCCGCATGGGTTTTGCAATTGGGATCACACCAACATCCATGTCATTGCCGTGAAGTAGAGTTCCTCTCCAGGTGGCATGTGCCGTCATGATTTCACTGTCCGCATTTTCACATTTTTGTGCAAAATAAGAAATATTATTATTATTTTCTAGAGTATAACAACTACTTTTAAAGTAAGCACCACACTATTAAAAAGGAAATAACACTTTCAAACCAGGAACAGAACATTATTCAGATTTTGTGACTTAATTTACTTAATTACTTAGGCGATCCTTCATTGTCCGAGTGAGATTGTCCTCCAATTTCGGTGTCCTGGGGGTGGGTCCGAAGGTGACTGTGGATCTCTATTCTTCTCCCGTACATAGGTTTCCAGGTAGAAGGCAGTCCTGGTCGGGGTTGGCTTGACACACCTTCCTCTTGGCACGTTTCTCTCTTTCGCCCTCCATTCGTGCCTCTTCAAATTCTGCAGCACTGTTGGTCACAGCTGACCTCCAGCTGGAGCGGTCAAGGGCCAGGGCTTCCCAGTTCTCAGTGTCTATGCCAGAGTTTTTAAGGTTGGCTTTGAGCCCATCTTTCAATCTCTTTTCCTGTCCACCAACATTTTCCATTCTTGAATTCAGAGTAGAGCAACTACTTTGGGAGACAGTGGTCGGGCATCCAGACAACGTGGCTGGTCCAGTGGAGTTGATAGCGGAGGACCAACGCTTCAGTGGTGGTGGTCTTTGCTTCTTCTTCCAGCACACTGACATTTCCCTGCTTGTCTTCCCAAGAGATTTGTTTTTCTAGGTAATCCTTGATTCGGTGTTATCCAATAAGTAAATCTGTCCATACTCATTCTTTCTAATATCTTGTATTGCAAATCTTCAAATGTAGGCCCTCCATTCATGCCTCTTCAAATTCTACAGCACTGCTGGTCACAACTGACCTCCAGCTGGAGCACTCAAGGGCCAGGACTTTCCTGTTCTCGGTGTCTATGCCAGAGTTTTTAAAGGTTGGCTTTAAGCCCATTTCTTTTCCCGTACACCAACATTATGTTTTCCGTTCTTGAGTTCGGAGTAGAGCAACTGCTTTGGGAGACGGTGATCTTTGGGCATTCGGACAATGTGTC